AATTGAAAAAGTCTCTGTCTTTCTCTCACTAAGGCCTTTTGTCTTCTTGATATGAAATGTATTTGCATTATCAGTTAAACCTTTCTGCATATATGGTTGCATCATCTATTAAAAATAGAGGCAGGTTCTTATCGGATATTGGTTGGCATTATTCCATTCACACCAGCTGTCTCATAAGATTTGCATTTGGTACTTTTGAATTATATTTAGCCACTGTAAATTAATATTTAATAAGAGTAAAAGGCAGTGTAAATAATTTCAGAGTGTAAACTAAGGCATCTTTGGCCTCCCCAGTACAACTCTTCCAGTTTCTCATATAGTCCATAGGCAATTTAAGGAAACTATTCCACCACTACCCCACCCCACTCCAGTGCAGCTGAGTTTGCTACACGGGGGGGGGGGGGGGGNGGGGGGGGGGGGGAGGTTGAATGGAAATAACAAGTTTTCCTTCCCCCTAAGGTTTTAAAATTGCTTCTATTGTGAAGGTTATTTTAAAGGCTAATGATTGTGCAGAAGTGATTTTTGAAAAGAAGGATTGTTCTCATGAGAGGAGGGTTAATTCACTACCCCATGTTCTGACCATCTTTTAGAAAATTGCTTCTGAATGTGTGGAGTCTTTAAAAGCTTCACTGCAGTGTTTGCAGAGGAGCACGTGTTATGTGTTCCTCTGCTTGAGGAAAGTAAGAAAGGATATACTATAAGTCCACTACTGGTGTGAAAGTCCTAGTATGATTGTTTGAAGTTTGTTGGCTTGGTATTGGCCCTCTGTCCTTTCTTGCTCAAAGCTGAAGTCATGGATGAAAAGAAGAAAGTGAATAGCACTGTTTCACAAATGATTGCACAAAAGGTTATAGAAGTAATTTATCCTGCTATAATTATGCAATAAATTCTTCAGCATCTTTTACAAGTAGAAAAACTCCCTTTGACATTTACCTTATAGCACTATCACACACCATGTAAACTCCTAAAGTGAGTATAAGTTAGCTACAGTGCTAAATAATTGGTTTTATTTCATATCCTGTATACTTTGGCTTAGTCATTGCGCTCTTGAATGATCTATCTATATCTCTCTATCTCGCTATATCAGAGTTCCCCAACCTTTTCGGCTTTACAGACCAGCGGGGGGAGGAGGGAGAGGGGATGGTGCCACCACTCGCACAAATGGAGCATGAGTGTGCATGTTCACTTGCCCGCGACTTCTGCAGCCCAGTAGTGGCCACGGCCCATGGGTTGGAGAACCCTGCTATATATTATTCTATAATCTATATCTATCTATATCTACCTATATTGATCTATAAATTATAGATAGTTCTATATCTATCTATATTCTTGATCTATCTATATTCTACATTCCTAGACATTGTGCTCTTGTGCTCTTGATATCTATACACTTGAATGATCTATATCTATTTATATTCCAACTTCCTTTCTGTAATAAAGTTGAGAGGATCTCTCTAAATCCTTTGGATATATGCTTGATTTTATGACAAGAAATGTATATTTCTTGAAATATGTTTTAAAAACTCATCAGAAGCAGAATTCAGTGGGTTGAAGTCTTCCCCTCTTCTCTTTCTGGTTCCACCATCTTGGTGGGTGAGCTGTTAGTTAGCTGATGTTAGTTTTAGCAAGTTTGTTTGGGGAAACTCCTTGTGAAATCTGCCTAAGATAGCAAGATACATAAAGATATGATTCTATGAATTGAAGAGAGGTTGTAGGCAGCCTTGCACTATTCTTGGCAGCTACTCAGATGAACCATCTTGCATTTTTAATTTTAATTAGTCCTTGAGAAGATAAATGTTTTCTTTTGACATAGTGTAGTTATTGTTGTTATTGTTATTATAAATAATAGCTTGTCAATTGAAACTTGAATGTATTTGTTGGAAATTTAACTTCTGTGTTTCGAATAACTGAGATGGTATAGGTTCTCCTGCTTTAGCGGGGGGCTGGACTAGAAGACCTCCAAGGTCCCTTCCAGCTCTATTCTATTCTATTCTACAAACTTTCTTTTAATTATGGTTAATATAATTTTCATAGAATTCATTTTATGCTGCTGTTTTTAACTTTTTAGATTGTGTATGTGTGTGTTTTCTAGTCAGTCTTAACTCAGGGTAAATGCTTGGAAATGTTTATGTAGTTTCTTGGTGGTTTAAAAAACATTTTGTAAGTGATCTTAGAACAACATTTGCTTTGAATTGTAGCATATAAATGCTATTCAGTGTTGATATTACGTACTAGTTTAATAATCTAATCCTGTTCATACTTACTCAGGAATAAGCATGGATGATTTATCTCAACAAATGTGCAAATTTTAGTCACAGTATAAACTTTAACTTTCTTTGAGGATGTGCAATTTCACACTTCTTTTGACACTGTTAAAAGGACACCCTCTGTGTTGTGTCTGAAGGAATTGATATTGTTTCTGTGTGTGATTTAGGACCGTTGGTTACAAAGCAAATGCTTTTATCATTTATTCTGTGTTATCTCAGTGTTACCTAACATTTAGGGAAGAAATGCTGCCTTCTGTATGATAATATATGTTGTTGGTATGCAAGAGTTGTTTACGCAGGGCTATACAAGCACGTCTCATGTGCTTGGAGTGCATGAAGTAGTTTTGCTAATCTGTCAGTATAGTATGTGCTTGTGGATAAATATAGACTGGCAGCTACTCTGCAAGTTGTAGATCATCATCATACACTGAGGCTAAAAATTACCTCTTTGGTTATGGAAAATGTGTTCTGATCAGGAAGCTGCAGGTTGTCGTCATTTAAAACCCCAAAGTCCTAGCTTTGAATCTGAAGTTAATAAAAACTTCTGTAACAAAATGACCAAGCCAGGGACATGAAACAAGTCATTTTTTTCTCAGCTATAGAAACAAATAAATTTTAAGATCAGGAAATTTTTTGATATTGTGAACCTCATGGAGATTTCACTGGCCTGCTGGCGGCGATCCAGTGTGATCAGCTTAATAAAAGGACTTGGTAGGTAAAAAAAAAAAGGAAAAAAACTCTTTCCATAAGTTTGTATTTTAATTTGATTTATTAGAGTATTCTATATTTAAGAACCAAATATATATATAGATATAAATGTGGGCAAATAACAAGAATTGTGCCTGCTTTTGGTAAACTTAATGAAGTTCAATTTTTACCTGGTATTTCTTTCTTTACTGATTTTGCTTTATAACCAAAGGAATATTATTTTAATTATAAAATTAGAATGGATTCTTAAATTGTAACTGTGTTAAAGTAATGTCTAAGTACATAGTATACTAATACTTGTTGCCATTTGTGGTATTCCTTGAGTGGAGAAACAGTTGAGATTAAGAAATTTTCTTCAATATAAATAAAGTTAAATGGTGATCCTAAAAATCTCAGAATCATGTATGTTATATTAGTTCCCAGAGAACGTTCAGCAACAACTTAATTGTTTTGATTCTTTGGAAATTGTCTGTAGTGTTTAAGATTTTTGATATGGGAAGATTAAAGCAAGACTTTAAATTTACAAGGCTAAACAATTCCTTAAGTAATTACTATAGGATTAAAAATATGAATTACCAATTCAATTTTGTTTACATTTAATCTTAACCTGCCCTCTCATTGTCAGTGGATACTGTGTTACTTTCAAGAATAATGGTTATTGATAATGCTGTATATCTGACTCACTTGTCACATATATAGAATGAAGATGCTATGTTTTGATAGTTTGCACTGGCCACAAATTTTCACATTTAAATAAATATTAATAATATTGATGAACTATATTCAGTAAATGGTAGCTTATTATACTGATATATATTGGAATAATGTTAGTTAAAAATAGGCAGGGTTAAAAAGTATCTATATGATAAAGCTTGAATTGTATGCTATATTATTTGGTATGGAAGAATAAAATTACTTTTTCTGTTATGTAAACAAAAAATTAAACAAAAAATTAATTTGTATGGTGTCCTCTTACATTAGCTTGCATTTAATCCAACTAGAAAAAAATTGAGAATTAAGTCTATCTGCTTCTGATTAATATTGACTACTGTGCAAAATCAGAGTTAAATGTACTAACTATATTTCACTTCTGGGGATTATTATGAAAAATATATAGCAGCTTAAAGAAATATTGCTTGTTTGGACTGCATCCCAGAGGGTGGGTATCATCTAACATTAAATGCAACTTTCAGATATGAGTAGCTGGTTTATTTATCAGTATTTAATATTCCCATCAGTATTCACCTAGGCAAATATTCAGTCTGGCACAATATTTTATTTTGCCATCTAAAATCCTGATTTCTCTGGGTTCATAGAGTTAATATGATTTATTCTTCTTTTTCGCTCCTTCTGAACTGTTACTTTCCCATTTGTAACTAGAATTATTTCCAGCCAAATTTTACACATTTTTGGAAGCAGCTCCTCCAGTGTTATGTAGAGTTATGTGGAGCTCACTACAACCACTAATTAAGAAAGCTTCTTATAAAACCTTTTCCAAAGATGCAACTGCATATAACCTTAGTGACAGCATTATATGATGGCATAATTATTTCTTAATGAAATACTAGGAGAGCACAGTAAAAGAGAGACTGTTGTTCAGAAAAGATTGCACAGGGAAATCTACCTCCCCTTGACTGGGATTCTCCCTGTAATATAATTAGCTTATTTCTGTGTATTTGTGTGATTTGTGAGTATTATGTTCTTGTGGTTATACATACAGACACACAGGAAGGAAACTGACTATGATACTTTGAATAAGGCAGTTTCAGGTTCTCTGTATGCTTATATCTACTTTGTGTTCTGCATTTTAGAAGACAATACCATTGCCTAATATTTAATTTTAACAACTCTACAATGTCTTTACATATCCATATTAAAAAAATATTAGGCTTTACTCCTTTCAACATCTTAATAATCTACACTTTGTAAGATCCTTAATAAGATTAAATAGTCTATATTGGAATAAAATCATTTTACAGTCTAAATTATGTTTTATTAAGTGTATATTGCATCTCTAATTTTCAGCATCTCCAGTAGGTAACGGATACATTAAACCACCCGTCCCTTCTGTTTCTGGCACACAAAAGGAAAAGGGACCTCCAACCATGCTACCTATCAATGTTGATCCAGATAGTAAGCCTGGAGAATATGTCTTGAAAAGTTTATTTGTTAACTTTACCATCTTGGCTGAACGCAAGATCCGCATCATCATGGCAGAACCTCTGGTAAGTCAAAGAAAAATTAACATTTCAGCATAGAATTAACTAAAACTAATTTGCAGCTCAATTTGCTAGAATCTCTTGAACCAATGGAATATTACTGTTCTACTCAGTGGGGGGATTAAAGACCTGTAATAGAGCAACTCCACTAATATAAGAAATATGTATGGAATCTACTTGGGAAATGTATTTCTTTGCCCACCTCAGTGGATAAGGGGAATATAATTCTAATATGTTGACAAAAATAATTAGCCAAATACTTTTATTCAATTGTATTTTTGCTGTAATAATGTAATTCTGTTGATATATTGTTAAACAATGAAACTATTTGGCTTAGCTTGGACTTTCTGGAAATATTTTGGTAAAATGAGTGAAAAAACAATAGAAAACTAAGAAAGGCAAAGAAGCCCTGAGTAAAAAGTGGTCTCCTCTTGAATGTAAGAACAGGAGAGGTGTCATGTGCTCTGTCAGCTCTTGGGGCAAGGGGACAGAAGTGGCAAAAATATATTGGAAGACTATGGTTGTTACCAGAAACACTGCCTCATACATTTGACTGATATTTATGAGGTTGGTTTTTGGGCAAAGTAGAGAGTGCTGCTCTTTTACCATTCTTCCATTTCTGTAGAAGCCTTTTGAAGTCACTACTATAATGGATGTGGATTCACCCAGGCTACTGACGTTTGGAAATTTTTGCCGCCTCTTTCTGCGTTCAAAGGAATTTATGGCTTTCATGATAACTATGGGCTTGGGCATCACTGGCCTGATTTATATACAGTATCTGGCTTTTATCTTGGAGCAGATAAGATGTTACTTGGTTCTTATGGACTTTTCCACATATCTCTTGTGTAGACAGACTACTTTCTTATGGTGATGGATCTAACTGAAGCCAGCAATGTCTGTAGCATTTCAGTGACTCATAGTGGGTCCATAGGGTTTCCAGATGACCCAGTTATCTTGTGGACAACTCTGTCAGTTGCCTTGTTAGACAACCAAGGTTCTCAATAGGGTTGCTGTTATTGAATGACCTTTCCCTGACTGCTGATCCTGTGGAAATTATTGATTCTCTGAGGAGCTTCAGGAAATGAAATTTGTGAAATAACATCAAGTGATCCCAGTAGAAAACAAAAAGTCAGAGTGACTAGGTTCAGGTATGAGATTTAATTCAAGCCTATTCCATGACAATAAGGTAGCAAAGCAGAAGTATATTTTCCAAAGAATATCTAGCTTATGACTGTGCTTGTGAGATACTTTTAAAGTAACACTTAAAAGATAATGGAAGAATCTATACTTTATTCATCCTCCTGAAAAAAAATTAATGAATTTTGGTCAGCGTTTTCATGGTCCAATGACATAGTTCACACAACTTTTTCATACTGTCACTTTCTTTGACCGTATGGAGTAACTGTATAGAATATCAACCTTATCTATTAATCTATTAGAGAGAAATGAATAATTTTCTAATAATTTGGGAGCACCCTATCTGATATAGTACAGGCTTTAACATGACTGTGAACCTTTAGGCACTTTTCATATAGTTATTCTGTTCTATGTGAAAGGAGACTGTTTTACTGATGACTTCATGCCTATAGGGAGCAAAATGCTTCTCATTCCTGAAGATTTTAAAATCTATTTCTTTCGGAATAGTTCAAGGCTCCTCAACTACTAATAAACCTGTATTTTTCCACAGAGATTAGAGTCAAAATGAAAAATGGAGAATATTTTAGAACCATACTGTAGATATCTACAAGAATTGGTCCATCACTTTAATTCAACCTTTCTATATTTGAATTAGTCCCAGATCACTAGAACAAGATGAGTAGCATGTTCAGCTTTTACAAATCATACTGTTTTCTAACAGATGCATTGAATGAAAACCAGTGAAATATTAAATTTCCATTTATTTCAAATGAAAAGAAAAAATATAGTTATCACTAAATATTTGATTTTGAGAGAATTGAATATTGAGATTGGAATTTGGGTTGTCGGTTGGAGTGAAAGAAAAATTATTCTTTAGAAGTACTTGATAATAACATTAAGCGGAAGGTGTCTGTGTGAGAGAGCAATAATTAGTAAATTCTTGCTTGAATGAACCTCAATTCCTGATGAACAAATTGACAAATCCATGTAGTTTTCTTTGCAACAGTACAAAACTATTTTCTCCATTGCTTTTGTTTAAGTTTTTTTTTTAGTTTTCAATCAGATCTGTTGGGCTAGATCTCCTGATAGTATAGGATTTCCTGCTTGAGCAGGGGGTTGGACTAGAAGACCTCCAAGGACCCTTCCAACTCTGTTATTCGGTTATTCTGTTCTATTATCCTTCCAATCACTAAGCAATCTGACCTTTTTGAGATTAGTCAGAGCAGACTAGCTGAGACAGAAATACCTAAATTTTCTACTTAATGACTGATTCTTTATATAACAATTGTATTGTCTTATAAAATATTTATTCATGATGCCATGTCCCATGAACTACTGCAGGTGCATCACTGCAAGCATTGCAAAGGGAAAGTTAATTCCATGAGCACTTTATTTCAACAAAGAAATATAGTAATGCATGCAGGGATGAAAACTGAAATAATAACACTTAGTTTTATATACCACTTTATAGTGCTTTACAGCACTCTCTAAGCAATTTCCAGAGTCAGCACATTGCCCCCAACAATATTTTACCGACCTCGGCAGGATGGAAGACTGAGTCAACATTGAGTCAGTCAGGATCAAACTCCTGGCAGTGAGCAGAATTAGCCAGCAATACTGCATTGTAACCACTGCGCCACCATATCTCTTGTTGTATTCTTTTGCAGGAAGGGTTCTGTTTTGCACCATTTCTGTTCATTTGCTTGTAGAGGGCTTAGCATTTGTTCAGAAGACCTAAATAGCCATAATTTAAGTGAGCATAGTTTGCAGATTACATTTAAGGCTCTCTATCATAACCACAGTCTTGAATATGTACTTAGTTCAAATGTGGTGAAGTTTTGAATGTCCAAAACTTCACCACAGAATATACCTTTTCTTATTAAACTAAGCCAAGATGCGGGACAATTTAGGTGCTGCCTAAGCCAGTTTGCTCAGCTACTGCTCCCTTCTTAGCGCAAGCATATATTTTCCTGGAACCGCAGAGTTACAATGCAAGTTGAGGAAAAGACACAGCTTCTTTATCAGTCTATTGACAGATGCAGTGAGTATACATGCCTATACAGTACTTTTCCTGCTTCAGATAATGCTGCATACCTCTAAAGAAGACTCTAAAAACAGCTTCAGTGTTAGAACTTTTCCATACCAGAATATCACTTTCAGAAAGGTTGCCTACCTTGTGGTTAATCTGTTTATGTACTCAATGCCTAGGGTCTGTAGATCAAAATTTCGAATAGGTACAAATGGAAGAAAGCAATCTTTCATATAACTAGATCCCATGTAAGTAACAGGTTGGAGGTAAAATCAGCATTTGGATTTGGGTTTGGAAATGCGTTGGAAAGTGATACAGCCAGCCAAACACAGTCTATCCCAGTTTAATAATCTTGCTACTCTAATATCAACTAATTGCAGTTTCCATTTTTTGAGGATGCAGTGCCCTGTAATACTTTAAATGGGAGATTATTAGACTCTATAATCATGTCTCAAATGCCAGAAGCATATCAGAAAAGGAATAATTGCTTTGTGTCTCCCCTTTCATATCAGCTAGATCTTTAATACTTTTATTGACAATTGCTGGTGAGGATATGTTTGTGTGTATGCACCAGAATTTAAGTAAGACCCAATTTGGTGTTTTTAAGATATTTTCAGGAATGTCTTTCTTGCACTGTTTTTCCCCCATAAGGGTAAAAAATCAAGTTTTGCATTAAGAACAAGTCCACTTTCAAAACATATTATAGTGGTAGTTAAATTGATAATACGTCTATCAGTGTGTTAGGGTCTTTTGAGCTCCTCTCATGTTTTATTCATTATATCAATTGAAGTTGAGGTCTGACATCCATAAAACATCCTATACATTAAGTTGAGAATTTTACATGAATTGTCACCCAATTTATTTCTTACATATACAGAAAATACAGAAAGCAGTGTTATAACTGGTTAAGAATTGCATAAGTATATTTTTGTTTCTCTTAATTTTTTGAGAATTTTGTCATTGGACTGATCCCGTATGAATGCCTGGCCTTTATGATTTCTAGGGGGAAAAGGTGTCTGGTGACTTCTATATATTATTTATTTATTTTTATTAGTATTAGTAGAGTTCTGTGATTTAAAAGTTGTTGTCAAAAATGTTGCTGTATCTTGCTTTAGCCTGATATTTCCAAATTAGAATACTCATCTAAATTTTGGGTATTTCTTTCTTTTATATTATTTTTTTATTAAACATGTTACAGAAAATACACAAACAATAACAATTTTAAAAGACAATTAAAAAAATGAAGCAATGCATAAATAAGTAAACAAAGAATCCAAAATATCTAGGAAGTTATAATTTTCCAGTTTATCATTAATCAATTATGAACAAATGAATATAATACATAGGAAACTAAAAATCAAAGTTCTAAGCAAGGATATCTATCAAGAACCATGCTCAACACAGTATGAATCACCAAGGCAAAACTGAAACTAAAATGTGAATTCTAAACATTGAAAACCCAAACCTAGGTTGAGGCACAAATAAGTTGGAATAAAATTCTGTTTCTGTTTTACTTGTAAAGTACAGAGTTATTTTAGACATTGAAATGTACTCCCACAATTTGGTTAATCATTTTTCCAAAGAGACAGTCAGATGACCTTTTCAATAAGAAGTACACAATATCCTTGCAGCAGTAAACAAAAGTAATTCAATTTACTTAGTGAGAAGATATGGCTTAATAAAATGCAATAAAACATTGCAGGTTGAAATGGAAATTTGACTTTTAAAATTTTTTCATTCTAGTATGAATCATTTTCCAAAATTATTTACAACATTGCTACTAAATATGAGAAATATGAAATGAAAATGTAATATGAAATTTACTATTGAGTTCAAGAAACATGACACTATCTTTTGGGACTCTTCTCTATTACCTCACAAACTGTAATTATTATGACTTTAAAAATATTTATGATAAAGAGAAATAATTGTGACCTTTAAAGCCTTTTCAATTTTATTTTGTTTTACATATATTGTGGGAATTAACTAGATTACCTCTTGTTTTTAAATTCATTGTATATTCTTCTGAGGAAAGTTCAGGATATGAACATGAGGCTTTAATGGGACATTATTTATTAAAATAGAAATATATTTATTTGATATTCTTTGGTTCTTATATAACAGCTGCTTCAGATCAAAATACAGTGAATCATTGAAAATGAATAAACCCCTTTTGTACTAAATTTAGTGGCTGTATTTTTTGGCTCTGTATTTAGCCTACCAATATGAAAGATAGTGAATAAATTGCAATAGACATATTTGGGTGGAGTAAAGAATGTTCTTCCCTTTTTGCAAATAAATAGACAGATAGAAACTTGAGAAATCTCCATGCAGCAATTTCTTAGAAGAGATTAATTTTCATATAAAATTAGTTTTGTTAAAATGGGAAGACAGAGAATCAATGACTATATTTAGGGAGAAAAGCATATAAAAGAAATGCCGTAAAGTATTATATCCCGAAGTAATTAAACCCAATATACCTATGAATTAACTTTTATTTTATGTTTTCTTCGTTTTATGTTTTCTTTTTATGACTGTTGCTGCCAGGTATCTTTGTGCCTACACCAGATTACTTGCATAACCCATCTTTGATTCTCTACCATCTCCTCTTCTTGTCCTTGTGCAACCAGCATGATCATCTATCAGCCTTCCTGGCACAGAACCAGCCAGTTCTCTGTTGTTACCCAGTGAGACCTCTGCTGTGTTCCTGGCAGTCGGCATAATTTCCCTTCCCGTTCATCAAATAAATCCAGAAAGCATGTGCAGGCAGGCAGATTGCTCTTCTGTAGCTGACCTTTCTCTGAGTGGAACAGAGAGAGAAATTTTCATGTTCCCAGGAAGCCGTTTCCACCATAATGACTAATTGGCACAGGACTGCCTATTCAAGTAACTGGGGTCATGACCCACATTCTTTTTGTAATTCTTTGTGAACAACCTGCCGCTTGGCTAGTAATAGTTTATTTAGAGAAAATAGTGCTGGATAATGCCTTGGATTTTTTTTTTCTTCCTAAAGTTTTGAAAGAGAATCTTTTTTCTTGTTTTCTTTTTTTTCTTTTTTTAAGATTTCACATTAAATTTTTTCCCTTTTTTCAGGAAGATGAAAAACCCTACAAATATATTGCACCATAGCCTGTAATTCATTTGTAGAAATGTTATATTTGCATTTCATTATTTTACAATTCCACTCTGGAACTGATTTCTAGTTTGAAGTCTTAAAGAAAATCCACAAGCACTTTGTGTTGAGAGATGACAACAGTGATTTCTCCTCTTAATCTCCCCATTTACGAGTGTTTTGCATTTTAGGCCTCTTCAAAACCTGGAAGCTATCTTTAGTTCTGCTTCAGTAGAGCAATTGTTCCTAGTTGTGCCTGTTCTGATTAGTTCTAAATAGTGCAAAAAGACATTAGGTTATGAGAGTGCATCTATTCCTTTATGCTGACTTGTGAATCTGCTTGGCCTTTCTTAGTTAACACTATACCTTCTTAATCTGTTTCCATCTGTGAATCTTTGTTCTTCATTTCCTCAGCATGGAACAATCATACTTTTCCATCTGCCATGTCTTGAGGCAGAACTGAGCTTGGTTCAATTTTTTGTGAGACCTGCAAAAGACCATAAAATGGCTTTAATGTGCAAAAGTTGATTCATGCTAAATATCTTTAGAACAATTCAATATGTGATGACTACTGAGGTTCTGTGTTTTCTTCCCTCTTTTTGTTTATCAACATTTAATACTGAATTTGCTAATGGCTATTAACTCTTTCTTGAATAGGTTTTCTTATTGTCTAGTGCTGAGAGGCATAGGGGCAGAACAAGAAATCAGTGATATAATTTTGACAAGACCAGAATTTTTGTCTGCTTCCATTCCATTTACCCCTGGAACTTTATTTTCCTTTGATTCTGGTAGACAGATAGCAGGAAAGCGCTCTGGAAGGGCCCTAGGGATGCTGTGGAAGCAATAGGATGTGATGCCTCTGAAGGAATCTACTGGGAGACTAGTGGGCCTCCATGTGTTGACAACTGTAAGAAAAGCCTGCTAGACTAGATGGGCCAGAGTCCAATCCACCAAGGCATTGCTTATGTTTTTAAGATACAGACTGGATATTATAGATAATCCTCAGTTTGCAATTTCTCCACCCTGGCAGAGTGCTCTTAGCGATAATCATAATTTGTTTCCCTTTAATTTCTCAGTCCCTTTGCTTGGAACACAATTTTCAAAACAGAAAAGTAGGTCTTTTCAAGGTGACTCATTGCTAGCCCATACTAACCACATATTTGACAATTCGGCACAGTGTATTTTCACAGCTTCACTGTGAAATTCAGACTGGTAAAACTGCTAGAGTGTGAACAAGAACTAAATAATTAACAATAGAGTAAGGTGATAGGAATGAAATTACTGAGTAAAGACAACATATATTTGGAGTAGGCTTGGAAAGGTAAAACAGGAAACATGCCCCAGATAACAGGAACTCCAAAAGAACAAGGGATTTGTTAGTGCTGGGACATAAAAAAGGAGGCTGTGTAAGATAAGAAAAACAGGTGAAATCTGAGAAAGATGGTTTAAGAATTGAAAATACCTTTGTCTATCTCCTAATGCATACAAGGTTATTTCCTATAACCTTACAAAGGATGACTATTGTTACTTAGGACACTAATATTAAAAAGGGTAATTACAATTAGTCTAACAGTCTTCTAGAATGTCTTCTAGATTTTATAGATATATATTGTAGTGATGCCAACAGTTTGGATGATGAACATTCAGATCCAACATTGGAACAATCAAGAAAAACAATGTAAAGCAATAAATAGTTTCGCCCTTCCCTAGATTTTCATTTTGTTGTAAAATATGCCTAATAAAAAAAAATTATATATGGGGTATAAATTAATCTTTCTTTCCTCCATAATTTCTGCAAGATAAAACACACTGACTTCTCCACCCCTGCCCTTCGATTACTCTGGCGATAGCTTATGACTATAATAGTCCTTTGAGGGATGGTAATTGGGACTGGAATTTCCATCACTGAATGATGCAGTTGTAAAGTGCAGTGTCATGTGCCACATCACTTAGTGATGTCAATCCAGGCAACCCCTCTTGCCATCGTTAACCAAATTCTACCAGTTGTCAGCTGAGGACCCATCCCAATCCAAGCCATTTTAGGCTTGCTCCCTCCAGACTCCGAGCCTTGGTAAGATAAGGAACAGCCTTCAGTTTCTCCCACTGGCTTATCTTGAGAAGAAGTCTTGAGAGGAAACTGCCATGCACAATCTTGGAAAGAAAGCCTCATGAAAGGCAGGCCAGGAATGCTTGATCGGCAACAGGAGCAAGAAAACAGCATAGGGCAGCTAGGCCCAAAATGGGTCGAGATAGGCAGGTGGGGCGAAGTGAAGTGCCCCTGCGGTTGGTTGTAAGTGCAGGGGAAATTTTGATCATGTGACCACAGTGCACTGCACTGACTGTATTTCCATGTGTTCACCATCACCATAGCTGCAAACGGTCACTGAACAAATGGTTGTAAGTTGAGGACTGCTAATTGTAATTCCTCAAATATTAGGTCTGTACATAATTCTGGATCCAAATCCTAGTTTAATAATATGCCCAATGTGAGCTATTTTGCTATCTGTGTAAATAAAGTAACAAATTGGGTTGCAGTACTTAAAGTAGTTTTGTAAACCTTGGTCAATAACTAAATGCTAGCAAAGAATACAGGTTTCTGGCTATTGTCCTGAGATAGCTTATAAATCTTACCTTAGTGGCAAATTTATTATATGTTTTGATATTTGATGTTGTGTACAGAATCCTGATAAGCATTTTCAATTGTATTGACTTCATGAACATCTGGCATAAAATGACTATATAACAGAAGCCCAATTTTACAATAAATAATATATCATATATTTTATTATAGGAAAAACCATTGAGCAAATCTTTGCAACATGGAGAAGATCCACAGTTTGATCAAGTAAGTTATATCTCCTTTTACTGTCTACACTGTAGTTCCATAGTTACTATATGACTAAAGCAGAGAGTTACAACTTGATTAATCTTCCCTAACTGCTTTGAGGCTGTTGATATCTTCAATTTATTTTAGTTTTTGTCATTAAGAAAGTATATACTGTACTATCATTCGTTGTAGGGTAGAAAATATCAGTGCAAGACTAAACCTACAATATATTATTGTACTTTCTGCCCCCCCCCAATTGCAGAGCCAATTCATCAAGACATTAAAAATTGGCAACTTTTGCTGAAAATACATAACCTTAAATATTCACTTTAAGCCTTTCTCAAGGCTGAATAACATTTTGTTTCCACTCATATAAATCTCTTTGCAGCTCTGAAAAACTTCAAAATGTCCTTACTGTATATTGCTTAATAATACAACCCATTTCTTTCTGACACCTGATACCAATTCTAAAGCATGGTGATGGAAAAGTTGTGGTTTGGAGCTGTTTTGCTGCATCAGGAACTGGGCACCTAACTTTCATAGAAGCTACTATGAATTATTCATTGTGCCAGAAGGTGCTTGAGGATAACATGAGACCATCTGTCAGAAAATTGAAGCTCAACCAAAAGTAGACCTTATAACATGACAATAACACTAAACATTCCAGCTTATCTATGAAGGGATCTCTGAAAAAAATGAACTTGAGGGTTCTGGAATAGCCAAGTCAAAACTCAGATTTAAACCCATCAAGATGGTGTGGTATGCACTTGAATGCTCCTTCAACATCAATAGCTGAAAATGTTCTCCATGGGGGAGTGAGAAAAAAATTCTTCAAAGTTGATGTCAGAGAGTAATAAACACTTACAGGTAGTCCTTGACATATGACCATTCGTTTAGGACTATTCAAAGTAACGATGGTGCTGAAAAAACTGAATTATGACCATTGTAGCAGCCCTACAGTCATGTAATTCCATGTGGGACCTTCCCAGTCAGCTTCTGACAGGCAAAGTCAGTGGGGAAGCCACTGTCAGGAAAGGTCACAAGTCATGGTCATGTGATGTCTCACTTAAAGACCAAGGTGATTTGGTTAGCAACTGTGGCAACAAAGGTAATAAATCAAGTGAGGCCACATTATGCCTCACTTAATGAGTGCAGCACTTAATGATGAATTTCTTCATCCAATTGTGGTTGTAAGTTGAGGACTACGTGTATAAGTCACTCCTGTTTGAGATTGTTTCTACTGAAGGTGGAATACCAGATATTAGTCAGTAACTTATACTTATTCTTTCCACAGAAGGAAATGGCATGTCTCCTAATTTTTTGTTGAGTAAATGTCTGCAAAGATAAATGTTTATAGGTTGTTTTGTTTAATTACATTACTTTATATTTTATATACTGTTTGAATGTAAATAAAATACTAATATGTCCACATATATTTAAAAAGAAAGGAAAACTTTACAAGTGGTGTGCTTACTTTTTCATGAATGTATTTGTTTTAATGTTTTTATCATGATTTTATATGCAGTGGAAAAAATTACAACATAGTTTATAAATACAAGAAAATGATGAAATAAAAGTTCTTCTGAAATATAATAATAATAATAATAATAATAACAACAACAACAACAATAAAGTTGGAAGGGACCTTGGAGGTCATCTAGTCCAACCCCCTGCTCAGGCAGGAACCATTTCAGACAAATGGCTGTCCAGTCTCTTCTTAAAAACTTCCAGTGTTGGAGCATTCACCACTTCTGGAGGCAGGTTGTTCCACTGGGTAATTGTTCTGTCCGGAAGTTTCTCCTTAGTTCTAGGTTGCTTCTTTCCTTGATTAGTTTCCATCAATTGCTTCTTGTCCTGCCTTCAGGCGCCTTGGAAAATAGCTTGACTCCCTCTTCTTTGTGGCAGCCCTTGAGATATTGGAACACTGCTATCATGTCCCCCCTCGTCCTTCTCTTCATTAAACTAGACATACCCAATTCCAGCAGCCTTTCCTTATATGCTTTAGCCTCCAGTCCCCTAATCATCTTTGTTGCTTTTCTCTGTACTCTTTCTAGAGTCTCAACATCTTTTTTACATTGTGGTGACCAAAACTGGATGCAGTATTCCAAGTGTGGCCTTACCAAGGCATTGTAAAGTGGTATTGTAAAGTGGTATATAAAAAAGCTACCTGAGCTATTCTTTGATTTGGCCTCTGTGACTGAGGTTTTTCAATGGTGCTGAGTTTAAAATTGATTTCATAAATGTTATGGACTTCTATTATTTATTTTTGGTTTCTTCCTCCTTTTCTCTCTCTATCTCTATAAAGATGCACACTTTTATTCCAGATGTTGGTTAAAAGCAATTTTATATTCAAATCTTATTCAACTTGTTTAAGGAAGTTAATTCATTATTATTTTTATAACAATCTTAGCAACAGTTCAGTGACTATCAAAGTTTTCCTGTCTCATTAAAATGTAAGACAGCTGTTGCTGGCAAAGTTGTACCAGTAAAGAAACAATTGTGCTGTGCAGTGGATATTTCTTTTGGGGGCAAGCATGCCACAGTGACAGAAGCAGCAGGGTCATGCCATGGTGGTTTGAGCCCTACAGGTTTGTGCATGAAGTCTGTGGTCACATACTGTGGACAAAGTTTGCAGTGTGCCTACAAAAGGAGCAAGATCTTGCAGTTGCCTAAGGCCTGTGCTTGCCATTTCTAGCTTGGTTCTTAGGCATGTGCAAACCATTTGGAGGAGTGCTTCGCAAAGTGTTGAGTTACTACATCCTGTTGCAAGCTCAACGGATAAAGGATGCACCATATTGTCTGAGTACTTTTAAAATTATTGCGAAGATGGAGCAATTAGAAGCAATGTGGTGCCCTTTGTTTTGAGAAATGGTTCAGAGGTGTACTTCCATCACTGTGTGAAGAAGGTCTCCCAATAATAATAATAATAATGATGGTGGTGATGATGATGATGATGATGATGATGATGATGATGATGATGATAATAATAATAATAATAATAATAATAATAATAATAATAATAATAATAATAATAATAATGTTGGAAGGGACCTTGGAGGTCATCTAGTCCAGTGTTGGAGCATTCACAGCTTCTGGAGGCAGGTTGTTCCACTGATTAATTGTTCTAACTGTCAGGAAATTTCTCCTTAGTTCTAGGTTGCTTCTCCCTTTGGTTAGTTTCCATCCATTGCTTCTTGTCTTGCCTTCAGGTGCTTTGGATAATAGCTTGACTCCTCTTCTTTGTGGCAACTCCTGAGATATTGGAACACTGCTATCATGTCACCCCTTGTCCTTCTCTTCATTAAACTAGACATACCAATTCCAGCAACTGTTCCTTATGTTTTAGCCTCCAGTCCCCTAATCATCTTTGTTGCTCTTCTCTGTACTCTTTCTAGAGTCTCAACATCTTTTTTACATTGTGGTGACCAAAACTGGATGCAGTATTCCAAGTGTGGCCTTACCAAGGCATTGTAAAGTGATATTAACACTTCACATGGATCTTGATTCTATCCCTCTATTAATGGAGCCTAGCACTGTGTTGTCTTTTTTGGCAGCTGCAGCACACTGCTGGCTCACATTTAAGTGATTGTCCACTAGGACTCTGAGATCCCTCTCACAGTTACTACTATTGAGCAAGGTACCACCTATACTATACCTGTGCAAATGAATTGCCTATCCCTACTAATAATAAAATTAATAAAGATATATAGTAATTTATATTCTGATTTGATAGATCAATAACTTTTTTATTATTACTTACGTCAGAGCAAAAATACTTTAGGTGACTTATTTTTCAAATTCTTTCAAAATAATTATGAAAAGTATATTTGTATAGACTGTTTTCAATGCCCTGCTAGCAGGGCGTTTGCTTGTATAGGGTGGGTATCTCAAGCTGCATGCTCTGTAGTTCATTCAGGTTGGAAGAACATGATCATCTTGTATAACAAGGACCCATTTGTACATCTGCACACTCCCTTTCAGTAGTAACACAGAGCTAGAATTCTTCTCATACTGGCTGTGATTCCAATAAATGGAGGGGTTGAGTAACCAGCATGCTGACATAGACGTTCCTCCCTTCCTGTATTCTAAGAGTTGGTCTCTGTAAATTCCACCCTTCCTTCCTGCCTTATAAGACCAATGACCAAAAAAATTAAAAAGCCAAGGAGACACTGTGGTAATATTCTAAAGTACATACAGCCTATATGTATTTAGTTTACATTACATTGGGCAGCACTGTTCAATAAATTAGGCATTAATAGGTGAAGCTGCATACCTGCAAGTTATACATACTATGCTTAATAAACCAAGCTGAGACCCATGCAGCTGCTTATTCAAATCAATAATATATTTATAACAATTATCTTACTAATAGACCATTGGGACTACATACCCAGTGATGAAAATAGGAGAATATTGATGAAAAATCATGTGGCAAAAGTTAATTTGTTTATATATCAGACTTCATAACTGCCCATCTCCCTTGTAGAAGGGCTCTATGGGTTATCACCATAATCATCAGGTGAAAATCTATATCCATTCAGAATTTTATTGAAAGTACAGCCAACAGTCAGCTGATATTGTAGATCTGCCAATTAAGAAAAGCAGGAACAAATGAGAGAGAGGTGAGGCATTCAGAGAAAGAAATGGTCATTCTTCACTTATCAAGAAAAATCTCAGTACTTGCAAAATTCCATTACCAAGGATCAGCAAATGCACAGGAAATGGAAAGAAATTTGTAATGTGAGGTTGGGATAAGGTTTAAGAAAAAGAAAGGGGACTACAATTACTATTTCAGTTTCATTAAAGCTTTAGATATAGCTTAAGATTGAAGGACATGCCATTTTATTTTCTGTCTTCCAAAGGGCATTGATTGTGGCAATCTTCATTTTTGTTTCAGCTTGTTCATTCGACACTGACTTGTTTGTACAGCTGAAAAAAACTCTATTGATTAAAATTGTGAGAGCAGCTATTGCCAAATTCAGATGCAATAAAAACCCAAGATGGAATCCCAATATTTTGTTTCCTTCATTGATTTACCTTCATTTGAAGAAAAATTTAAATACATTTTTCCTATTATGGGAGAATTAACTATTGGGCATATTTTGATTAGGAAAAATTGCACGAGGAAACATCCAGCACTGCATTTATCATCCATTTGAAGGGAAAAGGGGATAGAAGAAAACAAATTCCAGGAAATTCATTTCAATAAGACATTGGTTAAGGTGTGGAAGTAGGAATCAGGAAATCCATATTCAAATTTTATGTCAGTTTATTAGCTAACTTTCCTTCCCTTAGATGTCCTTCAGGAAGATTCCATACCTGGAGAGAGAATGTCCCTGGGACTCTGGAAACAACAGGACATATGCTTCTCAGTGCTTCTTTCTACTACAGAAACATTCATTCTAGCCTCACTCACCATTATTTCATAAATACCCAGAGTACACAGGATAATTTTATAGTTCCCCGCTGCTTGCAGATACCAATCCTGCAACAACATATAATGTTGCCAGATACTTAAAATCTGTCAGAAGATAACCTGCGCCATAAACCAGTTTTCATGAGCACTTTGTTTGCGATTCTAGAGTGTTCTGTATTGTGATAGATTTATCTTGCCATGTTCCTCTATGTTGATCTACTCTTCCTATTCTTCCTCTTAGATTCTTTTTAGATTTTTAAAATTTTTTAGTTTTATATTTAACATTGATATCTAATTTTTTGATGTTTTTTTTATTCTGATGCTTTTTTAATTTTTTTTGTACCCTCCCCTCATTATGCTACCCTCCTCTTTATTTTTGACCATAAAAAAGATTTGGTTTTATTACTGGTTAACTAAGCTTCTTGCTTTCTCTCAACTATACCTACTTTAAAATTTATTTCACCATGGAAATGAAATATATCTACTTTGAGCTCCTGGAAGAAAGGAGAATATGTACTAAATAAATAATATAAATGAATATAGTCTAAATTAAATTAAGGCAACATGTTTATTATGTATTTATTTATTCTAATATTCTGTGTTTATTGGACATACTGTATGACCAAATATTTTTTAATGGCTGGCTTTAGACCACTAGTTGCTGTAAGTGAAATTTGCAAGTGGGAATATTTAATTATATGGTCTGATTTGACCTTTTATATTTGATTTGAACTTTCCAGATTTGTTAATATAATTCAGTTGTTAAAAGTTTGTACATTCTTCTAGAGACTATAGTTCTGTTTAAAAAAGCATTTCAGTATCAGATTTGTAAAGCAAATCTTTACAACTGAATTTTATCACAACTTCATGTATATCATTTTGTTCATTTATTTCATAAAGTCATCCAACATTTGATGTGCTAGTATGAACAATTAACCCATCTCCAGTTCAATTAGTTAAAAAAGGGAATACCAGAGTCAGTTGTGTGAATACTTCATTAAATAATCAGGGCTGATTTGGGGCAGTCATGCCTTATATAAATCTTAAACTTTAGCTCTCACCATACAGATTTTAAAGGCATGCCTTGTCCCAGTCAAAACAAAATATTAATAAAACCAGCCAGTTTGGTCTAGTGGTTAGGTCTAGTGGCACCAGGCTAGAAAGCTGGAAACTCTGAGTTTAATTTCTGCTTTAGCCACCCATCTCAAAGAGAATTGATTAAAGATTACAGTATATTTTTAGTAGACTGTACCTAAATATGTTTTTATTTTTATGCATTTTCCTATAGGTAATTAGTTCAATGAGCTCTCTTTCAGAATATTGTCTACCTTCTATCCTGCGCACTTTGTTTGATTGGTATAAAAGACAAAATGGCATTGAAGATGAATCTCATGAATACAGACCAAGAACAAGCACAAAATCCAAAAGGTATGCACCTGGAAAACGTTTTGATTGTTTGTGGCTTTTTTGTAAAAAAAACAAAACCCTGCTTCTATATAGAATTTAGCTTTAAAGGATTTGCTTCAGACAATATTTGTGGGTGTGTTAAAAGATTTGCTTCAGACAATAGTTTGAGAGCTTTCATTCTGCAATCCTGTCAAAACATAATAAAGAATTGGAATTCTTTGCAATTATGTGGAATTCTCTTTACTCCTGTTGAATTTAAATTCCTGTTGAATTCTCTTCACTCCTGTTGAGAATAGACAGAGAATAGACAGAGCCAATCAATGCTTCCTTAGAAGGGTGCAAAAAAGAGTGTAGAAGTTGGAAATCAGCGGCCTGCACTCTGAGGCTCTTCCTAGTCAAAGAAATAAGCTATAGAAGGAAATGTGAATCCAACCATAGATACTACAGGCTAAACCATTATGGTATGTTTGGCACCATTAGAACTGCTTGTTTCAGAGATATTATCTGAATCCTGGGCTATGGTAGCCTGTTAGTGAAATGCGTCCTTACATAAATGCAATTGTCACTGCATTTTATCTACTGGTAAATATTAATGTCGGTGTTTTATGTCAATTGTCTTACTGGTTGTATTTTTATATGAGATGTATAGAAATAGTGAGGGTTTAAAAATAGTTTAATGAGGAAATAAATTTGACTGAACAGAAACTAAATCTCTTAAATTGGGGAATGATATAGGAAATGAAAGGAGTAAATACTGTATTGAAACAGCCTTAAAAGCTTGTCAGATGAATTTTTGACCTCCTTACCCTAAAATAGACTAATTAAAAACTGTTTAATTTTATATTTCGTTGTGTATGACAAGATAACTTTAGTTATGTTTTCTCATTTTTAAAGTGATGAGCAGCAACGAGACTATTTAATGGAAAGAAGAGATCTTGCTATTGATTTTATTTTTTCTTTAGTATTAATAGAAGTATTGAAACAGGTATGTCATTTTGAAATTTTTATTATTTAATTTTAATGGCATATGTTTGTCACTCTTTCTTCTAGGGATAGGTATGTAAGCCTTTCAAATAAAGAAAGAATGTATATAAACGGCTATGGGTTTCCACATAAACTGCAAAACATTAATTTTGAAGGTTTATTACTTTGTAAATAGCATCTTAAGAGTCTGGGATTCACACAATTTAGTTACAAATCGTGTGTGTGTATCGACTAGAAGAATGTGAAATAATGTTCTCTGATGTACTCAGCAGAGAATGAAAGCAGGTTACTGTTTAGGCGTGTCCTTTCGTTCTGTTCTTCCACTTTTCTTCATCTCTTTATCTGCTAGATTAGGCTTCATTTTCTAAAGGAGGTTGAGTCATAGAAAGACATTTCTGTTTTTCCTGTATAAGTAATGGGAAGAACAAATTATATCTTAATTCTAAATACATTTTCTAGAAGGAAAGCTTCATAATTTTAGTAAAATGTACTTTTAAATGTGGAAGAGCAATAGGTAAAACAAATTAATTAAATTACTTCTATTTGGTGGTTTACAGTTGCTATGTTTCCTATTTCACATTTATAAGCGCTTGGACAATAATTTTGAAAACTCAACATAGTGCATGTGTGTCAGAATTAAGGAGTATTATCTTTTGGAGGAGAAAGCAGAAACATATAGTGGTTGGCTATACTTGCCATTAGTCATCCTTAGGTATGAATTTTTTTAACTGGTTGTTCATTTGTTTTTCAGATTCAGCTTCATCCTGTAATTGATGGTTTGGTACATGATGTTATTAATTTGGCTTTCAAGCACTTTAAATACAAAGAAGGGTAAGACTTGTTCCTTCTTTTCTATGAAATCTCACAGATTTAGACTACACTGACATCAATAGTTACTTAGGTTTAGTAGTTAACCCCTGGCAGTATAGAACATGACCTTGTTATGAGGTAGGAATGTGGGAGTCTAAATTTTGGGAGTAAGGACCTCCTTTTAGAAGTCACTTTCTTAATCAGTAACTGTTCTACCTTCCTTTAGGGAAGTTTGATATTAGGGCTTAAGAGCCCCTTCATAAATTTACTATTTGTGTAAGTCCCAGATAAATAGACAATTCCTATTTAATTCTATAATGCAGGCATACCATTTCCCCTACTTCCAGTTAATCAGTCTTTATTATAGGGAAGTCTTACTCTTTTGCTAGTATAGTGGTGAATCTTAACAAGATTTGTCTAGCAAATCAAATATTTCATGTCTGTTACTGACTCTATATCTTTCTTATATCCTGTGCTGGTACATGACCATAATAAAGATTGATTTTATTCATATGACTTGTGTAAAATTAGATTTTTATGCAGTTATTACTCTTCATATACTAAGCCAGGTTTCAACACTATGGAGATAATGCTCTTTATATACTAAGCCAGGTTCACACATACAGCTAAGCCAAAAGCCACTACATTTGGGTACTCAATTACACAAAATCAAAACCCAGTATATGGAAACTGAGCTTAAGTGTGTGTATGTGTGTCCATTCAGAAATGATAGGAATACCTAAAAAATATTGGTCATATGAAGCTAAACCTACTGTGTAATGTATTTATGAATGTTTTAACATTCTGTATTTTCTTAACTTTTAATAGGTACCTAGGTCCCAACACTGGAAATATGCACATTGTTGCAGATCTCTATGCTGAGGTAATAGGGGTACTAGCACAAGCAAAGTAAGTATATTTAAATAATCAAAATATTAGATACCTTTCACTCAGAAAGCCAGATTGTTCAGTTAGAAGATTTCTGTATGTATGTTTGTGTGTGTATATGCATGAGTACATGCTCATTTTCAACCTTTGTAGGAATAGATCCTTTCCCTTCACAAATGCTTTGTTTTATCAAACTAGGTTTTGATATAGAGAATTATCTGATCTCAGAAAGTAGTTTCTGAGTAGTTAGATAATTCTAAAAGTTACAATCTTCTTCCATTGATATTATCTTTGGAAGTTCAAGCGCAGGAATTAAGTACAGTGTTTCCTCAGAATAATCTTCCAGGAATGCCAGAATCAGAATTGATTTGAAGTCACTTCCAGGTTTCTTAAATGTCCTTAATAATGCACATGCTATCTTATGAATTGGAGGCTGATCTAACCAGAGAGATGAACTAATTCTTTGGAAGGTTTCCCTCCCCACCATTCCTACTTTTTCTTTTTCTTCTTTCCATTTTTTTCCTTTTTTCCCCCCCAGGATAATTGAAATGGAAGCTGAAAAGAGAAGTATGTTGTGACAACACTGTTTACTTACTAATTGTCCTTGATTAAATAAGTCTATATGGTTTTTTGAAAATATTAATGATCTAATCCTTAATTTAATAATTACTATAATTAATGATATTTTAATGCTATAGGTAATTTGCCACCCTGTTTTCCCCCTAAGATATTGGTAGTGAGAATTACTATACACAACCTATGTTCTAATATTACCTCTTTTTCATTACAAAGCTACATTTTGAAAAGGAAAACTTTATATTTGGGTTTCATAGCCATGGGAGATTTAGAACTTGTTACATTGCATTGTGTACATTTGATTTAGGATGTAACATTGGGAGACTTCATTTTCTATGTGTATGATGGTGACTTTTCCACTTGCCATAACATATTTCATAGGTTTTGTAGGAGTTGTAGAGGAAAAACTCTTGGGTATTACAAAATTTCACTGTGTGTAATTGGTTTTATTTATTTAAATTTAGAAGCTATCTGACTCCAAGGCCATTCTGGGTGGCTCACAATTTAAAACAAGTGTATAAAATATAACTCATAGTAAAAAATATAAATATTGCTGTCAAATATCTACTTTGAAATAAGCATCACCATAATTTATTTTCGTTTTGCTTGTTTTTAGATTTCCAGCTGTGAAGAAGAAATTTATGGCAGAATTAAAAGAGCTGCGACATAAGGAACAGAATCCTTACATGGTTCAAAGCATTATCAGTCTAATCATGGGGATGAAATTCTTCCGTATTAAAATGTACCCTGTAGAAGATTTTGAAGCTTCCCTTCAGTTCATGCAGGTAGCAAAGTTCCATATCAGGAGAAAGCTGTCCTTTTTTTATACAAAGAAACCTCAGTGCTTCATAATGCTTATTTAGTAACTAATTTCAGGAACATGTGATTTTTATTTCACAGGGCGGATAGTAATAAAAACTGGAGAATAAGATATGCCTGTCATATCATAATGATTGAAAAACTATTTTTATTTGATTACTCATAATATTAGCTTATATTTTTGTATTTGGCAAATTATTATTCCCTGTTATTTTGTTGTACTTAATTTGGAGTAAGATCCTTGAATACAGTGGGAGCTCCTTTGATTAAACATGCATAAATTTGCACTGCCTTTTAAATAAAACTGTCAAGTAAGATGAAGGCAAAATGTTGCATATTTAAAGTAGTAGCTTTGTCAAAAATACAAATATTCTTGTTTATTTATGAAACTTTCTTTTCTATTTTTGTTTATTCCAGGAATGTGCACATTATTTTATTGAAGTTAAAGACAAAGATATCAAACATGCATTAGCAGGCTTGTTTGTTGAAATTCTTGTCCCAGTAGCTGCTGTAAGTTCTTGTTTGATTACTAACCCATCACCAAAGTCCCTGGTTAGTACACAAAGGATCCAACAGCTAGTAATAAAATACATACAACTTTACAACTATAGTCTGATGTTAAAGTAGAATTAAAGTAACATTTTACCAAAGCTAAATTAATAACAAAAGTTAAAAACAAACTATTTCAATTGTAAGCTAATTGAAAGATTTGTGTTTTAAAGTCATCTTAAGGACCAACATGAACAGCAGTTCTTGTATTGCACGGGAATTGCGACTTGAGGCTTCCACAGAGAAAGTTTGACCCCAAATAGCAAATAGGCCAACCAGCTTCCACTGAAAATGGGCTTCTGGTAATTTATGTTAATAAATGATAGGAATCTTGCAATAAGAAGTATTCTGTCAGTGTCCTGGGCCCAAGCTGTTTAGAACTTTAAAGGTAGTAAATTACATGATTCACTGTATCCAGAAACAAATAAACAACCTGTGTTAAAACTTCAAAATTAGTGCAGTGTGCTCTGTCCCAGCAGCAATGTTTTGTACCAATGGAAATTTCTGAATAAAACACAAGGGTAGCCAAAGAAAGGATCCAAAACAGAAATGAAGTATATCTACAATTGTGTTAGATTATTATTATTTAAGATATGATGAAGGTAAGAGATGTCCGCTGATCCTCTTACTGAGGTTGATAGTTTTTGGTTACAGATTTCACTTCAGGGTTCAGGGCAAAATTCAGATCAAGAACTCCCAAGCATGCTGTGTTTATTCTTTCTATCCCATCTTGGACAGATAGATCTATCAGAGTTGCTAAAATTATGATCCCCCACAGTGCCTTCCCTTGATTCTATTTAAGTTTGTTTTCCCTTGTTCAGCTGGTGACTCTTTGTAGGCAGCATTCTCTTCTATGAGTATCCAAGCTGTACATATTAGAAAATCTGAAGTAAAACTTAATTTTATCTTTATCTCTCTCTCCAGGCTGTTAAAAATGAAGTGAATGTTCCCTGTCTGAGGAATTTTGTTGAAAGCCTCTATGATACAACACTCGAATTATCTTCACGAAAGAAGCATTCACTGGTTAGTAATGTTGAGGTTAATATCTTTTATGAAAAGTGTTTTTAGGCAGTATTTTTTTCTTGAAATGCTTTCTGAAATGTTTCCAAAATTATATCTCTGTTTCTCATTAGATTCATTATAATTTGTTGGAAGGTCATTTTTAATGTGTCTCTCTGTCAATATATGCATGAACTGTTTTTATGTACAATATTTCAGTCATATTTAGTCATTGTGGATTTCTGGCTATTAAAAAAAGCACACCATTATTTCACGTCTACATGAGATATGTCCGGTGATTATCATAAGGCTAGGAAGAATGAGTGTGTTACTAAACAGTGCAAAGTAAGGAAGTTTTGTTAAGAAATAATCGATATCTTTAATAAATAAGCCAATATGACTTCTTCTAAAACAATAATTTTCTTTCTTGTCTCTAAGTATACTTTGTATGAACTTAATAGCAGCATAGACATTTCATTTTGAAAAGATACAGCAGAGATGAAAATATGATGCACCGGATCTTTGCATTTCCTTCTTTCATTCAATTATATTATTTTTGTGGGTTAATTATTCTCAAGCCTTGGGTTTCTAAAAACACTTTCAATATCCTGAGTACAGGACCTGGTTAGGGATGGAGAGAAGCTTCTGCATTCTTTAATGGCTCAATAAATATTGGGCGGCGATGGTAAATCTTAGCATTGTTCCAATTTTATTTACATTGATAAGATTAACTCTTCAATTTGCTAAATAGTTGTTAAAATGTATCAATGGTACATTTTGCAAATGTGAATATAGTATGAGTTTTGGTCAGTGTAAGAAAATAATTATGCTGAATGTGAAGAAAGTAATCACTTTTAAGTCTAACTGAGGTCATTTGGAAAGATTTAGACACATGTTTAACTCTTGAAATAAGATGTGGTTCTCTAACTAGATCATGTCCATTGGCTAGATCAATTGAAAGTGAATGGGACTTTAAGAAAATCAAAGGTGTTTTGTAATATTTCAAATTACAGTTTAAGTTGAAGGAAATAGATTTAATCTTACAATTTACGTCAGAATCAGAAGAATACAAGATAATAATTATAAGCACCATAGAGCATCAATCTTCCAGTGATTTCCAGGCAAAGCAGAAATGTTTTATACTAAATTATTATTATGAGACACTAACCAAGGCATAACAAAGATAATTGCCCTCTGTTATTGGGTGGTAGTGAAGACACGACATCAACTGATCTCAACTAATTTTATTTTTGTTCTGTAATTTATATTTTAAACTTTTTTTCTGATCAATGATTGTAATAACATATTTTATTTTATTTTGATAATAATGATGGAAGACTGTGATTTAAATAGCTCTTTTAATACTGAGAGTGTTAAAATCTTACTGAATGTAGTGGACATTCTCCAGAGTACATATAAATCATACTTTGCTTTTCTAGCTTTTAAGCAAAACAAAAAGGGGAAAGGAAAAAAAAACCATTAAACAAAGTGCAAGGTAGAACATTTGGAAGCGGACAAAAAGTTGGACAAAAAACTACCCAAATAAGCATTTTGGATCATTTAGCTTTCCCCTTTGCACTTGACCTGCGAATTGTGAAATCTTTTATTTTTTATTACAATATTTTAATTGAAAAGGAAACTTTAAGAATATTTTTAACTGAAAATAATATAGTTGAAGTGTTGTAGGAAAGTTAGAAATTTATGTGACCTTATAAGGGACAAGCCATTTTGCTAAGCTTTTTCCAGTAATAGAGCCAAATAAAATACAGTTCTAAGAAAAAACATTTATTTAGTGGATCATTATTATATAAAATAGGGTGAAAAAAATACCAGTTATTTGAAGAAGAACTCATACTGCTTTTTTTGTCACTACCATGAATGTATTTGTTAATCTAATAGCTTCATGACAGCAGATTCTTAACATTCAACAAATCTAACTGGTACAATAATTTACAGTTTACTACAATTTGTCCTTGGAATGTTACATTATTCTGCACTCTGTTGCTGCATAATGTTGGGCTGCATTTCAAGTGTTCTGGATAGCGCTAGATAGAAGTATTTTATTATTTAATTGTAACATATTCCTACATTCATATGGAATGATCACAAAAAATCATAATAATTAAGCTTTTAAAAATTGTAAGAGTTAATTTTTTAAAAAAAAAAACATTCTGTGTTTATATTGGCTGATGCACTTAATATAAGTCAGAAGGGAGATGGAGCTCTGAAGTTTAGTATGGATCTAATGCTCTAATATTTACTGTGGATCTGTTAATAAATTATATTTCCCCTTTGTTGTCATTCAAATAATCTTGTATTTCTTTTGTCTCTTATTTAGGCTTTGTATCCTCTTGTAACATGCCTGCTTTGTGTCAGTCAAAAACAGTTCTTTCTAAATAGATGGCATATTTTTCTCAACAACTGCCTGTCCAATCTCAAAGTTAGTATATCATTTTTTTGTTTGCTCTGTAGTTAGCTCTGGGTATATGTGTCATGAATCTGCCAATACTACATGTGCAATCTTGGATTCTTAATTTAGAGGTTTCCTTGCAAATCATACATGGTTGCCCATATCTCTACTAATTATAAAGGGCATGTAGCATACTGATTCAGTCAGGATGCATTTATATGAAATAGAACCTCTGCATTAATTAAGTACCTTTAAACTTAGAGTGCATTAAAATGGAACTAGTACTTATAAGTACATATGTAAATATAAGGAGATGATTACTCTTTTTAAAATTATGAAGTCCACATCTTACATTTAACACGATGATGATGAAGAAGAATTGATTATAGCTGCCCTCTCCAGTAGAGTCTGGACTGCTTACAAATACAAAACAATAAAAAGAGTTTAAAACATATAACCCTTTAGGCCAGGCATGTCAAACTGTGACGTCACATGAGGTGCACCTGGAGGCTCCAGCTAGTTCAGAATGCGGCCGCACGGGGGATTTTGGAGGCCTCTAGATACTCCCATGTAACACCTCTCCTGCGTGAGCTGCACTGGCTGCCTGTGGCCTTCCGGGTGCGCTTCAAGGTGTTAGTAACAACCTTTAAAGCGCTCCGTGGCAATGGACCTAGGTATTTGCAAGACCGCCTCCTACCAAATACCTCCCTTCGACCAGTCCGCTCCCACAGAGAGGGCCTCCTTAGAGTGCCATCGGCCAGTCAATGCCGGCTGGCGACCCCCAGGGGGAGAGCCTTCCCTGTGGCAGCTCCTGCCCTCTGGAATGACCTACCCACCGACCTACGTACAACTGCGGACCTGCGCCTTTTTCGCCGAGTCCTGAAAACCCATCTATTTCGTGCGGCCGGCCTGGCGTAGTCTTAATTAGGTTTTAGTATAGTTTTTTATATGGGATATTTTAGAGCAGGCCTTTATTTATTTAATCTGATTTTAGAATAGATATTTATTGTGATTTTTATTATCGCCTGTTCACTGCCCTGAGTCCCGTAAGGGAGATAGGGCGGTATACAAATCTAAATAAACATAAACATAAACAAACATCGCGCAATGTATTGGGACTTTTTCCCCATTGCCGGCAATGGGGTGGGCGCGGTTTTGGTGTGACGCATCCAGCCCGTGGGCCGACAGTTTGACATGCCTGCTTTAGGCAGTCCACACTAAAGATATAGTTATTAAAAAGAAAATATAATTATTTTCTTTAACATCTACTTAACATAGTTGTGAAAAATACTTAACATAATTGTTAAAAATAAAGAGATGACAATCTTTGTACTTTGAAAGGTAAAAAACACAAGTGGGACCTACAAACGATGTTGCAATGTAAATGTTCTTGTGTCTTCTTCCTCTCAGCTAGGAATATGTTATTTGAATAAACTTCATTTGATTGTCTCTCCAATCAATGCTGAGTTTTGCATAGTCCTAAACATATCCCCAGATTAGTCTTCTTTAAATAAAGATTTTCTTCTAGTTTTACGAAAACTTGCCTGCCGATACTATCTCTTCTTTTTCAGAATCACTATTTTAGCTCTAAAACCACTACTAGTATATTTGAAAACAGAAAAGGTCATATAAGGTGACTGGTGAGTTTTTAACTCACTCTTCCTTTTATGTCATAAATATTTATATGCTGTTTGGATGGCTAAGCTTTCCAGCTTTATTAACTGAAATACGGCTTTTAATGATAAATAGACTTATGATTGGTGAGAACCAAAATTTAACAGCCAGGTTTATTATCTTTTTATGCTTAGCTAGATAAAATACCATTGCTTAAAAACTGTCAGTTGCTTTAAATAATAACTTTTTCCTATTTTGAAACCTTGCTACCAATTCTTTTGTGCCCTATTGCATAAATACTATCTGAATTATATTTAAAAAACTATTTACTGAAAAGTTGACTCATTTTGCTTAGATTCAGTCTGAGCATTTCTGTGGTATTTCTACAAAGGATGGTTGGTTACAAAGCTATATAGTTGCATTTTTAATTAGCAAAATGTACAGGAGACAATCAAGCAACCTAACAGATCCTTAGCAGAACTTCTATGGTGTCATAGAATATGTATTGAATCACAGAGTTAAAGAACTGTTTAAGCCTCAGTTCCAATTCCTGCTCAATGCAGGAATCCAAATGAAAGCATCCCCAACAGATGGTTTTATATCATCTGCTTAAATACATCCAGTGAAGGAGAACCCAGATTCAGGATAACTGGTTGAACATAACTGCAATGAAACCTTCTCTGAAATGGAATCCATATTCTCTCCTGCATCCATGAATGAGCATTCTAGAGCATCCATGAAAGAGTAAGAACACGTTTTGACCTTGTATTTCAGCCAGTATTTTACTAGTATATTACTTCTCCAACTTCTCTTCTGAAAATTAAACATGCTCAGTTCCTTCATCTTTCATCATACAACTTTGTTCGTTGTTGCCCTTCTCCAAACCTTTTCCAGTTTCTCCTTTTTCAAGTAAGTTATCTGGGCTCACTTAGGGTGAAGTCTGATTAATCCATCTATCATAGTTGCATATAATAGTATCATAATATGATAGGAAAAGGATACAGATCTTAATATACTGCAATATATGATTCTCTTATGCATTTTACTAAATCATATGGTTCACTGAAATGCAATTATCTGAGTTCATACAATACATTAGGCTATAAAACTTGGTTTACAAATAACAATTGCTAGGTTCATAGATCATACACTAAAACAAAATCAAACACATTTCATTATGATTTAGCAAGTTTAATAAACCCAGCCTGTGTAATTTTCAAGCTCAAGTTATTTTTTGTTGGCTTATTGACAGTACACTGTCTCATATTTCATGACCATTGAGACCTGCATTTTGTAATGTGCACCATCTAGTTAATGTTATAAAACTGTATATAAAAATATTGTAAAACAAATATATAAAAGCTGACAGATTGAATAAATTACTTTGCAAAAGGTAGGTCCCATTTTCTTTGTTAAAAGCATTTCAATTAAATATGCAGTAAATAATAGAGTTTCTTTTACCTGTCATTTTAAAGTGATGTTTTGAATGTTAACATTGACCTTTATGTAAAAGTCATATACCAGTTATATGCTTGAGATATGAATATTCACATCTTGCCATGGTTTTTTTTTTTTAAAAAAAAAAATCTGTCTTAAAGTCAATTTGCTCATCTGGCTTTTCACTCCAGATGAAAATGTTGTGTTTGTGTAGCAGATTGTTTGGCTTCTGTCACACTTTAGAGTTACAATAGATGCTAGAATTTGATGACAAAACAAAGCTGAAGACATAGCTATCCATTCAAAACTTAAAAGTCATCACCAATAAGAATATTTCTGATTCCAAAGGCTGAGAAGTCTTCTGCACTGTTAAGACATGTTCACCTTACCTATTGCTACAGTGAAAAAAAGTGTTCTTTCTCAAACTGTTGAATTCAAGCACATATTTCAAGCTAGAAACATCATAATTTTAAATATTTTAAATGCTTGTCCTCTTTTTCACTCTCTTACAGAGACAGATCTCCATGCATTACTTTTATCAAATCTAATTGATATGAAAGTCGCACATTTGTTTATTTTTTATGTTGTATTGCTATCTTTCCCTCTGTGTAGGGGAATGATAATAGCATTATTTTACTTATCATCCAAATTTTAGCAGTTCTCCAAGTTTACCATTTATAGGGTGCAGCCTTATAATTTGTCAGCATTCATAATATTACTTTTTTTCATTATGTTTCTCCTTGTACTCAAACATTTACAGCATTAGCTTCAGTTTAGTTTTCAAGATTTTATTCATATTATATAATAGATATTATAATAATATATACATATACATACATACATACATACATACATACATACATACATAATAATCCCTTCATTCTGTACCATGCATTTTGATGCTTTAATTCATTAGCTTCACCTTTTCTTTCCTGCATGTATCTTCCTCATCTGCACTCCATAAAATTACTTCATTCAGATCTGTTACATACTTCTCATTTTCTCAATTCCACAAAAATGCGGCATGCTGTATCTAATTCTACCTCTGTAATATCATTACTTAGCTCATATTGTTCATGCCATGAGAACATAGCCTAAATACTTTGCCTCTCCTATCATACTTGGCATAAAGTCTGCTATGTATTTTTTTCCCTTTTCTTGCAGCAAACAAGGCGATAATCCATATTTTGTAGATTTGTCAGTCTTAATAGTTGTCATATATCCATTACAAATAAAATGCCCTTTTTCAGGTTCCATGAATAAAAATGTAGGTTTCTTAAGATTTAGCAGCCATGTGAAATATAAACCAAGATTACAGTATATTCATGTTGTTGTTGTTTTTTAGAACAAAGATCCAAAAATGGCTCGAGTTGCACTGGAATCTCTCTACAGACTGTTGTGGGTTTATATGATTAGAATTAAATGTGAAAGTAATACAACTACCCAAAGGTATAGTTATATATTCATACTTAATTTCAATGTAATTTTTTTCATATAGTGAGCAAATCACTAAAGCTACCTTCAGAGTAATCCAGGGGTATAATTAGTGCCATATAATGCAAAGGAAGAGATAAAATATCTGAGTTACATTTTGATATATATCCTCGGCATATTTGTAGGTTATAATTTGATAAATATACATTTACATTATGGAATTATCCTTTCATTTAACCACATTTGCTGTGCCGTCAGTATTACAGTATATTCCTGACACAGGGAGTCTCTTTTTGTCTCAATTTTAACAAATCTTAGAATGCACTAGGCAGAATGACATGCTGTCTTTTAATCTGGAACAAAAAAAATTGTCCATTATTAGTATTTTTCCTGTAGGATTTTTCTAAACTATCTCTGAAAGTTTGATTAAGGTAGCATAAAGCTATATTGCAAGAAATGAACTTGTCACAATGTTTTTTTTTAATTTTACAGTCGGCTTATAACAATCATCACAACCCTTTTTCCAAAAGGTTCCCGAGGTGTGGTACCACGAGACATGCCTCTGAACATTTTTGTGAAAATTATACAGTTTATTGCACAGGTTTGAAAAACTTTTATTTTTTTAAGCAATAGAACGTTTTATTGATAAGTTTTACATTGTGTTTCCTCTACTTTTCATGTCTGAGTTTTGCCTCTTTAGTCATAACATGCTAAAATAGTCAGTTTCAGCTTTCAGTTGGAAGTATTATAGAATATTCTCACACTGAAAACTACACTAAATTCTGGTAATGGATTGAATACGTCTCAATTATGCCATCTCATATCTGTCAGGATGAAATATTTAAGTTCTACATGGGATACAGTTATGTCTTCTTTTTCTGCTTTGCAATTTCCTAGATAAACAGTAATCTCCATTGTTTATGTAGAAAGTCTTGTTATAAATGAGGTTTTGTTAAAATAAGTTGGAATTCTATGATGATTTAGAACTCTGATCATTCACTCAGATTTACACTAGAGATGCAACAAATGTTATTATATTTTCATGTGCAATATGTATTTTGCTACAGGAACGTTTGGATTTTGCAATGAAAGAAATCATTTTTGATTTTCTTTATGTTGGAAAGCCAGCAAAAGCATTTAGTCTAAATCCAGAGGTAAGGTATCATTATTAATATATTTTTTCAGATTTAAAAAAGTATAATATGTCTTTAAGAGAAAAGCAAAGAAAGTGGGTCAGTGTTATCTAGTGCTCTTTGTTCTGGCATAAGGGATCAACTTTCATCTGTATCATTCATCAGGTCCTTAATTGCGCTTTCACATTACCTAAGCACATGTTTTTACAGTGCTCTACATACATGGAACAATTCCATTTAATTTGTAGAAATTTATTTATGAAATTTATATGGCTCCCCATCATAAACAGATAATTTTAGATGGCTAAAACACATACCAATAAAAACAATTAGAATACAATTAAAAGTGGATATAATAAATAACAAAATACAAAAACTGTGGAATTTCACACATTATTCTTAATTACATACTTGCCTATGTGTGTTTGATATCTCCTCAACCCTAATACCTAAGGGAGCAGCCAGGTTTTTGCAATCTTCCAGAAAACAAACAGGATTGGGGCTGTCCATGAGAGACTGTTCCATAGTTGTGTTGAGAAAAGTAAGGAAGATAGAAAAAAAACTTGGGAAAAAGCAACACTTTGGCCTATTTGCTAATTGTAGCATATTTTTAAATATTATACAAATATTCTATATCTATTATATTTCTACTTTCTTGATTAGCTAGTTGGAAACCTAAAATTACTGACTTGACACCCCACAATTTCACAAAACATTTTCCATGTTACTGTACTCTTATCAGTACTCTTTAACCACTGGAATCTAAATTCATGTACGGAACATGTTCTTTGGAAAGTTCTGGAGATACTGCATTGATCTCCAGCTATTTTCAGTGTAATCTCTTCAGGTCAGGTGAAAGTAAAGAATGCATCAGTGCTAACCACATAATTGTTATTTTGCTTTCATCATCCATCCATCAAATTTGCAGAGAATGAATATTGGTCTGAGAGCTTTCTTGGTTATTGCGGATAGTTTGCAGCAAAAAGATGGGGAACCTCCAATGCCTGTTACTGGAGCCGTACTGCCTTCAGGAAACACGCTACGAGTGAAGAAAATTTACTTGAGCAAAACTCTCACAGAGGAGGAAGCTAAAATGATAGGCAAGTATCAGACATGTCTTCTGCGTGTTCACAAATGTGTATGACAACTTGACCCAAATTTCACCCACATTGCTAGCCCTGAGAGTTCATTTCACTGTTGAACTGAGTATATCCAAATGCTTCTTTTGGAGAATGCAGCTTGAGGGAAGTTGAATCACAGTTTGGTTGCCTGGGGACAATTTCTAGTTGCCAGTAGCAACTAAAAATTATGCAAATGTTGTATAACCCATTTATTATGGTGTACTGTTTATTTTTTTGTATTAATTTTTTCCAGAATTTAACTCTGGCAGAATAGGACTAGTAATTATTAATCTATATAATCAAAATAGAAATCACACGGAATAACTGTTAATAATGTGATATTCACATGATTAATATTAAGTTATAACTACTGGAAAAAACAAAGCAGTGTTATAAAAGAAAGATTTCTCAATGGACATTTGTTAGACTAGTTGTAATGTCAATCCTTTGCTTGTATATGTCTTGAATGTAAATACAAGAAAAGGATAGTTGTAAATCCATTATCTTATTAGAGCATGCTGATAAAAATTAGAGTTTTAGGGATATGGCATTATTAAAGAGATGATCCTGGATCAGCACATGTTTGATTCAATACTGCTGCTAAAAAATGTTTCCCTATTTAGAGTTGATTGAACAATCAGTTGAGACAACTAGTCCTAAAAGCCCTCAAAAGACCTATGCTGATTCATATAATACAAAGCAAAGCAATGTTTCTCTAAAAATCTTATATGATTCTATTCTGAGTTTTATTAAAAAAAATACTTATAGGAGGTTAATAACTGTTTGTTCTAAATTTAAACATCTGCCACTATGTCACGATGTGTTTAGCTTATAAGTTAATGGTATTGATTCTATCCTAAATGCCTTAGTTTGTTAATCAATTGTTAATTATAACACCTAAAATGTACATGTTCACATTTTTTTCTGAAATTTTAGATTTACCTTTTTAGGGATCTTCCATTGTATATTTTTCTAGGCATGTCAATGTATTATTCTCAAGTAAGAAAAGCTGTAGACAACATACTGCGACATCTTGATAAAGAAGTTGGGCGATGCATGATGCTCACAAATATACAAATGTTAAACAAAGAACCTGAAGATATGATCACGTAAGTCTTGAACTGGATTTATAATAGCTAATTCTTTTAAAAAAAGCAAATCCTTATCTATAAAGGGAGACCTCTGGGTGTTGAAGTCCACACATCTTCAAGTTGCCAAGTTTGAGAAACACTGATGTAGACAATAAATTCCAGAATTGTGATTAATCATAGCCTTTCTTTCAATCCTTTAAAAACAATATGGAGTTAGCATCTCCTTTGTAATCCCACAAAATTACTTTTTTTCATCATAGCTCTTATTTTGCACAAGATCTTCCCAAGTTAGACCTTAGCAATAGAAAAGTACCACAATGCTTATGCTGTGTAAGGCTGTATTGATTTATAAATAATTAGCTCAATTTTGGGGAGAAGGCTTAATAAGATAAATGTATATCATTTTGCTATTACTTATATATTTGTTTCTTCTGTCTGGTATTAAAAATGATTAATAAATTTCATATTCTTTTCAGAGGTGAAAGAAAACCAAAAATTGATCTTTTCAGGACTTGTGTTGCTGCTATTCCACGACTCCTTCCTGATGGAATGTCTAAATTAGAGCTGATTGACTTGCTATCAAGGTAAAGTGTGTACATATTAAATAATTTTTAGAGGGGAAAATGTCATTGCTGATCAAACTATAATAGGATTCTGTAGCATCTTGGAAGAAGCATTGGAACACGTTTTCCTGAGAAAAGATGCAGCTGCGCTAAGGGATTATGAACAGTGAGCAATCAGCTTAGGCTTCTGTGTGAAAATAACAAAACACACAATCTTCCAATTTTTTTTTAATTCATTCTTACTGATTAACCTACAGTCAGTAGGGCCTGTAGTGACCCTACAAGGGTAACAATAATTGGTTTAAACCCGAGATTTTAATATTACTCAATGTACATGACTTGTGATAGCCAAGCAAAATTACTGCTAAATTTAACATATAGAATTGAACCCATCAAACAGATTTCAAACATCTACCCATATAAATCTCCCAGTTTAAAGTTCAGATCACCCTCTTATCTATCTGTGTCACCATTCCCTGATTTTCTTGTTTGCTTTGAGCTTGGAAAGTAATAATTGCAAATAATATCAAGAATCTAGCAGGCTCCAGGATTGATGGTGGGCTGCATTTGCCTTAGTTTTGAAGGTTAGCTGAAATGCATACCTATTTATTGCTATTATTGTATATGTTTTGAATAACTTCAGTGTGTTGGTTTTTTAAAACATTGTTAAATTAAGATGTTTGCTTAAGAATAAACTGCGTTTCTGTTGAACATTTTGATGTTGACTTCCTACTATCCTTTTTTGTACCTCAAAAATTAGCATTTCAATAGAGATTTTATAGTGCTAGTCACAGTTAAATATTAAACACCCTATGTATAGTATCTGCACCTTTTGAAATTCCTAAAGGAATTTGTACATATACAGCACTCAGAATGACATAATGGGTGTCATGATGCGAGTGCCACCCTCTGTGTTCTTGCATGTGACTCAGGTACAAAAGTGGATATCAGTATGTATGTGTCATAATTTGCCATCCCCTTTGTATATAAACAGCTGAAGAAAAATCTAAGGCATGTGTCAAATGTCAAATCAGTTACTCCAGTTCATTCCAAATTCTCATTGTGATATCACATTACACAGCTACAGGACAAGAAACAAACACTATTCTTTCTTTTAAATATTCTTGCTGGAATAAACTTGAACTATGAACCAGATAACAAATACTGCCATTATTGTTTATATACAAACTATCAACCATTGCTATTCAGAGTTTCTCTTCCTAACTCATTTTGTATCAACCTCATTTAGTTTATTTGAGTAAAATAAAGCTAGTATGCAAATTCAGTTTTTTTATTAGTCTTCTTCCAGTATCTGCCTTCACATGCATCTTGCTTCCTTTTTCTAGAATTGGGAAGCTCTGGTTTGTTTCTATTTCATAAGAGTCAAATGTCCTGCAGTTGTATCTCTGCATTCAGACACTCTTGGTATATGATATTATAAAAAGAGTACTAGTTGGTAGAGTCAGCATCCAATTTCATTTCAATTAAATTAAATTACCAAAAGAATTGTGAATGCTATGATAAATAAACCACATATTGTGTGTATATATATATATATATATATATATATATATATATATATATATATATATATATATTTTATATATATATATATATATATATATATATATATATATATATATATATATATATATATATATATATATATATATATATATATATATATTTCTAATAACACTAAAACTAAAACAGTGACTCCTGGGTGTGATCATCTTTCCAAAACCAAACTGTGAACACCAGGAGTATATCAAACTATACAAAGTTTAATAACATAAAACATAAAACAAAACTACACCAAGCTTTCGTCGGACTCCTC